CCCCCTGCTCCCCCGGCGGGGCCGCCACCGGGCTCTGCTCCCCGCTCCCTCCCACTTTCCCCGCTGGATTATTCTCTTTTTCCCAAAGTCTCTTCAGCTCAACTTTAGAAATGCTGCCGAGGAAGGACGTGCCCCCGCCGGCTCTTCTCTGAGGGTTTCATTTGAAAGCTCTTTTTTTAAACCTCAGCCTATAAATGGTGCAAATTAAAAAAAAAGAAGAAGAAGAAGAAACACTGACGTATCTAGTTGGAGGCACCCCTAAATAATAATATAGAAATTAAAATCACCCTCTCCCTTCCTCCCCACCCCCTCCCCGACATTATTCTCCCGCTGTCAGATGTGAAGAGGATTTTATCCCTGTGGATAATCCCCACATTGACTTTGGGAACTGATGTATTTATTTATTTATTTGCGGGGGGGGGGGTCTCGTCAATGAATCGCTGATGGAAAACTGCCCGCTCTGTGTCCGTAAGGAAAGCACAGCCCAGGCATCTGCTTGCTGGATGTGTGTGAGAGTGAGAGAGAGAGAGAGAGAGAGAGAAATTCACGGTGGCTGGATGTGATTTCCGATGCCCTGGTTGCGACACGCAGATGGTGCAAAAATATCCGCCACGCGCATCTCCCTCCCTATTCAGAGGTGCCTCGGGAGAGATGGCCGGGGAGCGCCGGCGAGGAGCGCGTGCACCCACACGTATACAAATACCCACGGATCCGCACATGTGTGCACGCACGCACGCACACATACACAGGAGCACGCTGCGTGCACACACACATATACACTCTCACACGCGCGCATACCTGCGCGTACACAAATACGCACACCCATGCGCACAAACACACGCGGGGACACGCACGCATATACAGATAGGCACACACACATATACATACACGCGCACATCTGTATACAGTACACACACATACGTGCATATACACCCATACACATACACACGCATATACATATACACACACATATACACAGCGTATGCATGCAGGACAAGGGCCCTATGGCCATGACACACAGAAGATGCATGCCCCCTCTGCCCCGCAGCCCACATCCTCAGCCCCGCCGCCCCCCCCCAGCCCACAGGGCTTTTGAGAGCCCCAGGCCCGGGCCGGGAGGGAGGCAGCGGGGAAGTGGACTTCATCTGCCGCCCCCACCAAGCCATGGTTGAAAAAAAAAAAGGGTCCCTAACCCCATGGGGGACCGTCCTGCAACTCCGCTGCCGCCTGGCATGTGGCAGCCGGCTCGCGTGCTCCCTCCACCAAGTCCAGCGGGTGCCCCCGGGAGGGGGGGAGCAGCCCCTCTGCCCCCACCCCCGGCTTTGCATCACGTGCGTTCATGCCCCAAAGCCTCCCGCTCCCCTCGATGAGGCGCCACTGCCCTGACCCCGCACCCACTCACGCACACACACACACATGAACACACACAGACGCACACGCACGCGCTCCCCGCGGGCGCCCGCTGGCGAGCAGCCCCCGACGCCGCGCAAAGTTTGTACCCGGCCGCCCCTCACCTTCCTTCGCCGCCTGCGCCTCCCCCGTGCGAGCCCAGCGGAGCAGCCAGACGGAGCAGACGATAATCCACGGAGGGAGCCGGGGCCGGACAACCATGGTGCGGGAGCCGGCTGCTTTCATGGGGCTGGAGACCGCGCGATCGTTACCGCCGCTCGCCAGGGACCGCCGCCCGCTGGAGGGTTTGCTTCGCTCGCTGCCGGCTCCTGTGTCTGCATGGAGCTCCGCTCCGCTCCCGCCGCCCCTCGCCTTCCGATTCGCTCTCACACCGGGCTTGCAGCCTGCGAGGCTCCGACTGCAGCCCGGCCGCTCGCGCCACACTCCAATAATATCAATCGGGGAGAGGGAGGGGGGAAGGGGCGGGCCTGGAGCCGGGAGGACGGCCCGTCCCTCAAAGTGACTGGCAGGGGGGGGGGGGGCGCCGAGGGCGGCGGCGC